AGTGATCTGCCCACCTCGGCCTCCCAAAGTGATGGGATTACAGGAGTGAGCCACCACGCCCAGCCAGATGACTGAAATTAAAAACAATTTATGGTATATTTTCAAATAAGAACATATTTTAAATATTCCCAACACAAAGAAATGATAAACGTTTGAGGTGATGGATATGTTACTTACTCTGATTTGATCACTACCCATTGTATATGTGTACTGACTTATCACACTATACCCCATAAATATGTATGATTATTATGTGTCAAATTAAAAATAACAAACGAAAATTTTTAAAAACCAACGTCTACACTCAGCTTTTATAATTAATATAGAAGCAATGCTGGCATTAGAAAATTATGCTTTTGCAATCAGTGCAGAAATAGTTGATTCAGACAAGAATCACTTGGTGCTAAAACGAGTAGATGAGATATTGATGAGAAACAGAATATTTACATAGTCTCAAAGTACCTCCCACAAATTATTACAAAGGGTCAAACAGTAAGTTTATTGTGGAGAGGCCAAGCAGACACCACCTAACCAAGCGATCCAACTTATCACCAGTAATAGGACAGACATCTGTGCCTTCTTATAAGATACACTGAGAGAAAAAAAACATCATACCAATGGTATGCCTGCCAAAAATAATCTTTTTTTTTTTTTTTTGAGGACTGAGTCTCACTCTATCTCCAAGCCTAGCAGGCATTTCGTGATCTTAGCTCATTGCAACCTCTGCCCCGTCCGCCCCGCTCTCCCGGGTTCAAGCGATTCTCTCTGCCCTCAGCTCCTGAGCAGCTGGATAATAGGGCCTGCCACCATTGCCCCAGCAATTTTTTCGTATTTTAGTAGAATGCTTTTTCACCATGTGGCCAGGCTAGTCCTCCGAGCTCCTGGCCTCCAAGTGATTCACCAGCCTCACCTCCCTAAAGTGCGGAATACAGCATGAGCCACCACGCCAAGCAACAATAAAAAAAAAATGAATCATCTTTTTAGTTTTTTTATACTTAAGTTCTAGGAACTGTGGCATCAAATGTCCAGTGTTACATATGTATACATGTGCCATGTTGGTGTGCTGTACCCGTTAACCTCCCATCATTTACATCAGTATATCTCCTAATGCCTATCCCTCACCCGCCCACCACTCCACGCAGCCCAGGTGGTGACTTCCGCACCCTGTGCCATGCGTGTCTCATTTAATTCCCACCTAAAGAGAACATGGCCGGGTCTGGTTTCTGTCCTTGCAATGTTTGGGCCAATAATGTATGGTCCCAGCTTCACCATTCCCTAACAAAGGACAACGAACTCCATCCTTTCTTAGCTCAAATAGTATTCCCAGGTGTATATGTGGCCAAACGTTTCTCCTAATCCATCTATTCATTTGACTGGACATCTTGGTTGTTCCAAGTCTTTGCTAATGTGATAAGTGCCGGAATAAACATAGCTTGCATGGTCCTTTTATAGCACATGATTTACTACCAATCCTTGGTATACTATCCCAGTAAGCGGCACAATCGCTGGTCAAGATGTAGTACAAGTTCACGATCCTGAGAATTGCCACACTGTCTTCCACCAATGGTTGAACCAATTTACACGTCCCCAACCAACTGTAATGTTCCTATTTCTCCACATCCTCTCCAGCACCTGTTGTTTCCTGACTTTTTAACGATCGCCATTCTAACTCGTGTGAGATGGTATCTCATTGTGGTTTTGATTTGCATTTCTCTGATGGCCAGTGATGATGAGCAAAAAATGAATAATCTTAATCTAATCCTGAGGAAGTATCAGGCAAGCTCAAACTGAGGAATATTCCACAAAACAACTGGCCTGAGTTCTTCAAAAATTCTAGTCTAAGAAAGGCAAAAACTGAGATGTTTATGTTAAAAGGGTCTAAAGAAACATGATAACTAAATTCGATGTGTGCTTCTACATTGTAATCTGACCTAGTGGGGACAGAAGGGGGAAAATCTCTATATGACATTCTTGGGATAATTGGCCAAAATTTATAAAGGTCTGTGGATTAGATGAATAGTACTATAACAATGTAAAATTTACAGCTTTTGATAATTGTGTTGTTTTTACGTAAAAAAATGTCTTAGTACTCAGGATATACATTCTGAAATACTGAAGGTTAAAGAAGCGTAATATCTACAATTTAAGTCTCAAATGGTTCAGGAAAAGGGTATACAGAGAAAGAAAATGATAAATCAAAAGGGGCACAATATTAATAATTGGTAAAACTAGGTAAAGTATATATGGAAGTTCCTTATACCATTCCTGCAAATTGTCTGCTAGTCTGAAATTATGTCATAATATAAAGTTACCAAAAAAAGCCAAAATATTTGTTGAATTGCAAGTGGGAAAAATCCCAGCCTAGATGTAGCATAACTAAGGTTTTATTATAGCTCTGACAAACTGATGACTACAACTTATTGAAATTTAGGCTGGGCACAGTGGCTCACACCTGTAATCCCAGCACCTTGGGAGGCCTAGGGGGGCAGATAACCTGAGGTAAGGAGTTCGAGACCAGCCTGGCCAACTTGCTGAAGCCCCATCTTTACTAATAATACAAAAATCAGCCGGATGTGGTGGCGCCTGCCTGTAATCCCTGGTACTCGGAAGGCTGAGGCACGAGAATTGCTTGAACCCAGGAGGTGGAGGTTGCAGTGAGCCAAAATCACGCCACTGCACTCCAGCCTGGGTAACAAGGTGAGACTCTGTCTCAAAAAAGGAAAAAAAGAAAAAAATAAATAAATGCGTACAGTATCAATTTTTATGGTTCGGAATACCTTTTTCACTTATAAAACTCAATTAACATTTACCTTTTCCTCTCTTCCTTTATTCTGTTCTTTCTTTTCACGACAACGAACAGCTTTCCCTCTGTCATTGTGAAGATTCTGTGCAGATGAACGGTGAACTCTGACAGTTGTACCTGGACGATTACCATGTGATTTAGAGTCACTGTACTGAGAAGACTGGCGTTTTCTAGGTCCTGGTGAGGGTCTAATCAAACAAAAACACATTAATATCATAATCAACTCCACATATAGATGAACAGACATACTGTGTAAGTTAGAGTCAATGAACTAAAGAAGCCAATGCAACAACTGATCACAAGACACGACTGAATAAACTTCAGGATGTTGCAACCTAAGATCTAAAATTTAAATCTGGGCCAGGCGCCATGGCTCACACCTGTAATCCTAGCATTTTGGGAGGCAAAGGTGGGTGGATCACGTGAGGTCAGGAGTTCAAGATCAGCCTGGCCAACACGGTGAAACCCGGTCTCTACAAATACAAAAAATTAGCCAGGCGCGGTGGTGCGCATCTGTAATGCCAGTCACTTGAGAGGCTGAAGCAGGAGAATCATTTGAACCTGGGAGGTGGAGAGTGCAGTGAGCCAAGATCGCACCACTGCACTCTAGCCTGGGCAACAGAGTGCGACTCTGTCTCAAAAAACATAAAAAAATAAAAAAAATAAAAATAAAAATAAGTAAAATTTAAATTTGACATATCTGTTGGTGGTGACTTAATTAAAGGAATGCGGTATAGTCATATTACAGAAATAATGGGGGGGAAGTAATGGTCACCTCTACTTAGAAAGGAAATTGTTGTGTATCAAAGATGAATGCATCTGATTGTTGGAAGCTGAAAAAAAAATTATCAGAGAAGAGAGTTTTATCGAGACAACCAGAATACAACACAAGTACTCAATTCACATTAATCTACTGGTATATATGCAATTTGGTACCATTTATTTAGAATATACAGATTTGAGTATCCCTTATCCAAAATTTTGGGGACCAGAAGTCTTTTGAATTTTTGATTTTTTCAGATTTTGGAATATTTGCATATACATACCAGCTGAGCATCTCTAATCTGAAAATCCACAATCTAAAATGTCCCAATGAGCACTTCCTCTGAGTATGACCTTTGAGTGTCATGCTGGTGCTCAAAAAGTTTCAGCTTTTGAAATATTTTGAATTTTTGGATCAGGGAAGCTCAATCTATACCATAATTTTTGTGTTTTAATTAATAAGATTTAATCATTTTTCCATTTAAAAAACGGATACAGTACTAGCTATCAACAGTTACTATAACTCATTTTCGGTGCTTTACATTTACATACATCACCTCATTTCACCTTTATGTATTTATTTTTTATTATTATTATTTTTTGACACAAGGTCTTACTCTGTCACTGCAGCCTTGACCTCCCAAGCTCAAGCAATCCTCCCACCTCAGTCTCCCGAGTAGCAAGGACTACAGCCACATGGCACCACACAAGGCTAATTTTTGTATTTTGTAGAGACAAGGTCTCACGATGTTGCTTAGGCTAGTATCAAACCCCTGGGCTCAATCGATCTTCCCATCTTGGCCTCCCAAAGAGCTGGGACTACAGGAGTGAGTCCCTGTGTCAGTTCTCATTTCATCCTTATTTCTGTAGCAGGATTCAGACTTCTCAAATATCCGTTAGGATCCTACTCTGCTTCCAGATTTGGTTGCAGCCATTTACAACCGGGAAAACAAACAAAAAAAAGGAGTCCTATTCTCAAATAAACCACAGTATAGTTAAACAGACAGAAGCTGTGTAAAGCTAGGCATGTATACCAGAAGGTGTGAAACAGACCTAGTGCTATGGCAATGGGAATGGCCTCATGGAGACAGAAAATAAACTGGGACTGGAAATGCAGGAGTTGAACTAAACAAGAGGGTACAATTATAGACAGAACATCAATAAAGAAAAGCAAAGAAACAAAAATGAGCTTAATCTATGTAAAGGATTATAAAGACACCAGTCTAACATATAATGCTGAACATTAAGCAATAATACTGAACAGAAATGGTTCGGTACACAGAAGATACGAATACCAATTCAAGAGGCTTAGCTTTTAGCTAACTGCTAACAAGGATCCACTGAAAACATTTTAGAAATATTAGTCCAATACTGAACATGATATACTGCTAAAGAAAACACAGAAAGCAGTGAGATGTTTGTGATTACAAATGTTACTGAGACATGAGATGAGGGCCTAGTTTAAGGCAGTAACAATGAGAAGAGTCTCAGAGATATACTATTAGTAAAGACACTCCTGGCCGGGCACGGTGGTCACACCTGTAATCCCAGCACTTTGGGAGGCTGAAGTGGGCAGATCACTTGAGGCCAGGAGTTCGAGACCAGACTGGCCAACATGGTAAAACTCCATCTCTACTAAAAATACAAAAAATTAGCTGGGTGTGGTGGCATGCACCAGTAATCCCAGTTACTCAGGAGGCTGAGGCAGGAGAATCACTTGAACCTGGGAGGCAGAGGTTGCAGTGAACCGAGATTGTGCCACTGTACTCCAGCCTGGGAAACAGACCTCGACTGTCTCAAAAAAAAAAAAAAAGAAAGAAAGAAAGAAAGAAAGAAAGAAAGAAAAGACACTCCTAGGCTGGGTGTGGCGGCTCACGCCTGCTAAATCCAGCACTAAAGTGGAGAGGCCCAAGACAGGGATGGATCACCTGCAAGGTCAGAGAGTTCAAGACCAGCGCTGCGCCAACAATGGGCCCAAAACCCTGATCTACTACTAAAATACAAAAAAATTAGAGCCGGCATAGGTGCCTGTGCTATGAATAATCTCAGCTACTTGGAAAATGAGGCATGAGAATCGCTAGAACCAGGAGGCGGGAGGGGATGCAAAGTGAGTTCGAGCTTCACGCCACTGCACTTGCGCCTGCGGGCTGGACAGAGCGGAGGACTGGAAAGGTTTTTAAAGGAGAATGAAGGAGAATTTGGCGAGGCGATGATAATTGCCAAACATAACGTGTTATGTGAAGGCAATGATGGGGGTTTAATTTTTGGATTCAGGGAAATATTTCTGTGTCATGGTAATTTGTTCCCTATTGCTCAGAAATAAATAAAAATAGACAACTGAACATATAATAAAAGATATAGTTGCAGCCTAATCCAATATTCCGCAGATTCCAGCAATGCTGGAGATCAATCAACTGCAATGGAAAAAATATATTGAACTAAAGGATCGGGTTGAGATGCTTAACTGAACATGTACAAACTATTTTTTTGTCAATATATTCTCTACTATAAATACAGTGAAAACAACATATATATATAAAACAATTACATTGATAATTAGGATAGTACAGTATGTAACTATTATATGATAAAACATATACAGAGTATGATGTGTGCAGTTATGGTTGCAAATATACACCATCGGTTGGATGCGTGCGGCCACGCCTGTAATCCCAGCCAATTTGGAGAGACCGATGCAAGCAGATCACACTGATTGTCAGAAGTTTCAAGCCAGCGTTGGCCAACATGGCAAGAACCCCCCCCGCCCCTTCTGTAAATCCCAAAAAACCAGGGGCACAGCTGGCTCATGCCTGTAATCCAGCAATGTGGGGTAGAGGCTTGGAGGCAGGCAGAATCACAAGGTCAAGCAGTTCGAGACCAGCAGGGTCTGAGATCAACGCCTGTGCATAACATGCGTTGAAAACCCACATCTCAACTTAAAAATACAAAAATTAAGCTGAGGCATAGTAGGTTGGCATGCCACCTGTAAGCCCAGCTAACTCGGAGAGGCTGCAGCAGGAGAAATTGGCCTTGACCTGGGGAGGCGACGGAGGTTGCCAGTCAAGCCCCAAACGATTGCCACCCACTGCATTTCAGGTCTGGACGGACAGGTGAGTTAAGAAGTTAAATCTCCCTCTCAGGGAAAAAAAAAAAAAAAATGAGCATGGAACATCATGTGGCACAGCTGTAGGTCCCAGCATACTTGGAGTCTGAGGCAGGAAATTACTTGCAACCGGAGGCAGAGATTGCCAGTGAGCCAAGATCCACCACTGCACTCCAGACACTGGGCAACAGGAGCAAATACACCATACTCAAATATAAAACAATAATACACCATCTATAATATAATAAGGCGCTTGGCAGAATATCCATGGATTTTTGGTATCTGTTGAGGGTCCTGGACACAATTCCCACAGATAAAGGAGAGAAACATATAATAAATATTGGAAAAGTGACTTGCCTGTAACTCCACTATCCAGAATTAACCAATTAACATATTAGTCTATTTCTTGTAGTTATCTTTCATTTAAACAAAATCAGAACCATTATACACACATACACTCTTGTATTTTTCTCTCCTTATTATACTTTGAGACATTTCCAATAACAAAACCTCATAAATGACTGGATGGTAGTCAATTACATAAAATGTGCCATTTCATCTACTTCTTATTGCTAGCCATTCAGTCATTCAAAAAACAATGTAAAAATAATTTCAGGCCAGGTGCAGTGGCTCACGCCTGTAATTCCAGTACTTTCGGAGGCCAAGGCAGGTGGATCACCTGAAGTCAGGAGTTCAAGACCAGCCTGGCCAACATGATGAAACCCGGTCACTACTAAAAATACAAAGATTAGCCTGGTGTGGTGGCAGGCACCTGTAATCCCAGCTACTTGGAAAGCTGAGGCAGAAGAATCGCCTGAATCCGGAAGGCGGAGGTTGCAGTGAGCCGAGGTCATGCCACTGCACTCCAGCCTGGGCAACAGAGTGAGACTCCATCTTAAAAAAAAAAAATAATTTCAACAAAAACCCTTACTGTCATAGACTTACATACGTGTGTGTGTGTATGTGTGTGTATGAGGGGTGCATCAAACAGTACCAGGTAATATTAAGTGCTATCAAGAAGAATAAAGAAGGGGGCCAGGCATGGTGGCTCATGCCTGTAATCCCAGCACTTTGGGAGGCTGAGGCAGGTGGATCACTTGAGGTCAGGAGTTTGAGATCAGACTGGCCAACATGGAGAAACCCCATCTCTACTAAAAATACAAAAATTTGGCTGGCCATGGTGGCTCACGCATGAAATCCCAGCGCTTTGGGAGGCCAAGGCAGGTAGATCACTTGAGGTCAGGAGTTCAAGACCAGGCGGACGGATCACTTGAGATCAGGAGTTCGAGACCAGCCTGGCAAACATGGTGAAATCCTGTCTCTACTAAAAATACAAAAAAATGAGCTGGGCGTGGTGGTGCATGCCTGTAATCCCAGCTACTCAGGAGGCTGAGGCATGAGAATTGCTTGGACCCAAGAGGTGGAGGCTACAGTGAGCTGAGATGCACTACTGCACTCCAGCCTGGGTGACAGAGCAAGACTCTGTTTCAAAAACAAAAAAGAGGGGCAAGGGGCTACGGGATCACGCAGGATGGTTTTTAGGTGGTGTAGTCAGAGACAGACGTTCTGAGGTGACAGTTAGGTAGAGAGCTAAATGAAAGAAGGGAACAGGCCATTCAGCACTGAAGCTGAGGGAAAGGCAGGTGAAAGGAGTGAAGCATTTGTGGCCTTGGCTCATTCAAGGCCACAGCACAGTGCCTGAGGGAGAGAGCTGTAAGAACTTAGGTCCCAGAGGCTGCGGGGAACCAGGTCTCATAGAGCTTGAAAGACATGAAAACTCTGGGTTTTATTCTGTGAGATGGGAAGATATCTTAGGGGCATCAGCTGACTGTTAAAAGACATTTGAAAAGAATCACATCTAGTGGCATTTAAGCTATGTCTAACTTTTTCTACATAAGGCTTCAACAAACCTCCATGTACTCAATTTTTTGTGTACCGTTCTAGAAGAGAATACTGGATCAGTTGAATCTGTTCTTTAATGGTACTAAAATTTAGGTGATGATAAGGTTAGAATCACCAACATAGGTGAAGAAAGAATGACTCTTGGCCAGGTACCGGTGGCTCATGCCTGTCATCCCAGCACTTTGGGAGGCAGAGGTGGGCGGATCACGAGGTCAGGAGTTCGAAACCAGCCTGGCCAACTGGTGAAACCCCGTCTCTACTAATAATACAAAAATTAGCCAGGCGTGGTGGCACACACCTGTAGTCCCAGCTACATGGAAGGCTGAGGCAGGAGAATCGCTTGAACCTGGGAGGCAGAGGTTGCAGTGAGTCGAGATTGTGCCACTGCACTCCAGCCTGGGCAACAGAGCAAGACTCCGTCTCAAAAAAAAACAAAAACAAAAACAAAAAACTCTCTTAAGCGTGAGTACAAATGAAGACTAATAGAAAAATAAAAAGAATCTTAAAAGATCCAGTTAAGGAAACAAATAAATTACAGGAAGAAACAGATGCCACAAATAAAGTCAAAAAGGAAAACTTAACAGTAATCTAGAGCATTCAAAATCAGGAACAGAAAACGATACTGAAGAAAGCAAGAAAAAATAAGAAGGAACAGCCAAATTTAGGGCTTAACTTCCCACCACCCCTCAGAGGAAATCCTGCCTCTCTGCTTGTGAGACTGAGGTGACCAAATACTTCACTAAATTCAGAATCAACTGATTTCCCACTGGGAACATCTATTTGTTGGAAAGATCTTACCAATAACTGAGAAGAGTTATAGTACTGTTAGAGGTTGAATGTTTGTGTCCTCCCCAAAATTCATATGTTAAAGCCCCAATGCCCAATATGACTATTAGGAGTAAGGAAGTAAGAGTCCCTGATGTGACATGATTAATGTCCTTATAAAAGACACCAAAGAGCTCACTCACTCTCTCTGCCATGTGAGCACACAGAGAGACGGTGGCTGTCTGCTCAGGAAGAGAGTCCTCACCTGAAACCAAATTGGCCACATCTTGATCTTGGACTTCCCAGCCTCCAGAAGTGTGATAAGCAAAGTTCTGTGTTTAAGCCACCCAGTGTATGGTATTTTGTTATGGTAGCCCAAGCAGACTAATACAAGACCCAAGTGATGATTCTCCAGAAGGAGAAAAGAAAAGAGCAAGTAAATAAGAATAAAACAAATTAACAGACAAAAGCAAAAACACAACTTGACTCATCTATTAGTTCTACTTCTGAAATTAGGGGAAAACATTATAAATGTGGAAAAATTTTTACTCACAACTATTCACTGCAACTTTATTTATAATAATGAAAAAAGCAGGAAAAAACACTAAGAGCATGGTTAATTATATAGGTTACATACCAGTCAGAACAGTGGCAAATAGCTCTTAAAAAACTGCAGGGAAAAAGATCTGACATGGTTTATAAATCATAAATGTTTAAAATATGAAGAGCAAATTATTTCATCTATCTTAGCTTATCCTCATCAGAAATTGGGGCTAAAAAAATTAGTACCTACCTTCTAAGGTGGTTTTGAGAATTAAATAATACATGTAAAACAACAAACACAGTACCTGGCACACAGTAATATGCAATGATTGTTGACTATTATTAGGATTTTTCTTAAAGGAGGGTACAATGTTGTAAATTATGGATATAGCACAACTACAGCTATGAAAATAATGCATAAAAGAACAGAAGAAAACAAACTAGGATGACTGTGTGATTTTACCCCTACTTCTATGAATTTTTCTATTTTTCTTTAATGAGTTACTGTGTTTTAGTGAACTATTATGTAATATAACAGAAAATGTAATTATGTGAAAGTGCTTATGAGGCATGGGAAAAATTTAGCAAATCGCCAAAGGATATCAGGAGTCAGTAACAGAACACTAGTACAGTCCTTTTATGTGAAGATTAAGAAAATAAAAGTGGCAGCTGGGTGTGGTGGCTCACGCTTGTAATCCCAGCACTTTGGGAGGCCACGGCGGGTGGAGCACCTGAAGTCAGGAGTTCAAGACCAGCCCGGCCAACATGGTGAAACCCCGACTCTACTAAAAATACAAAAATTAGCCAGCGTGGTGGCACATGCCTGTAATTCCAGCTACTTGGGAGGCAGAGACAGAAGAATTGCTTGAACCAGGAGGTGGAGGTTGCGGTGACCCAAGATCGTGCCACTGCACTCTAGCCTGGGCGAGAGAGCAAGACTCCGTCTCAAAAAAATAAAAATAAAAAAAGTGGCTAAGAAATAATCAATACTCATCAATTGATTTTAAATGTCAAGAACATGAAGGTATGGGTCTTCTCAAAATGTGACCTAGCGACCACCTACATCAGAATCACCTGTGGATTCCTGAGTTCTACCTGCTGTCTACTGTATCAGACTCTCTGGGAGTGATGTCCCTAAATCCACATTTTTAATTAGAGATTGTTAGGACTGCTATAGCAGAGAGTGCCAGCTTTGTAATCATTATTATAAAACACAATATGTATAGGTTCAAATCCTAGCTCTACCAGTTATTGGTTTTGTGATAGTGGGGAAAAGTTATTCAACCTTATTGTACCTCAGCTGTCTTATCTGAAATATGGGGAAAATATGACTTATTTGGAAGGCTTATTGTAACAAATAAATAAAATAACACTTATAGCTTAAAATAGTTCAGAACACTGTGGATGTATAATCCAGCACCTATATTATAAAATACAACCAGGCCGGGTGTGGTGGCTCACGCCTGTAATCCCAGCACTTTGGGAGGCCAAGGTGGGCGAATCACGAGGTCAGGAGTTCGAGACCTGCCTGGCCAAAACGGTGAAACCCCATCTCTACTAAAAATACAAAAAATTAGCTGGGCGTGGTGGCGGGCGCCTGTAATTCCAGCTACTTGGGGAGTTGAGGCAGGAGACTTGCTTGAACCCAGGAGGCAGAGGTTGCAGTGAGCTGAGATCATGCCACTGCACTCCAGCCCGGGAGATAGAGTGAGACTCCGTCTCAAAAAATAAATAAATAAAATAAAATAAAATAAAATACAACCAAGGCTGGTTCAAAGGCAGTGAGTTATCTCAATTGATTGTTCACAGTCAGTTACAGATCAAACTCTTTGTTCTACTCTTCCCCACCTTCTCACTACTGCACTTAACTAGTCTTAAAAAAAAAAAAAAAAAACAAGAAATCAGAGTTGCAATGACAAAATGTTAAAACTGAAAACCATCTGGGCAACATCTTAATGCAAGGTTAACGGGCAATGAACCCGGGAAGTCATAAGTGTTCTTTCTAGAAAGGCATGACACAGTCAATATTTAAATCTATAATACAAATTAGAAAATCTATCATGTGAATGAAGTAGATAACATCCACCTGCACATTTGTCAGTTAAAAAATATGCAGTAAAACTATGCATGATTGGCTAGTTACAGTACTTCAGTAAATATCAGCATCACTAGTTGTTCCTTTGCTGGCACTTGGTAGTAGGAAGTTGGGGAAAAAAAAGCCAGAGAAAACCCTAAAATTCAGAACATTTTATTTTTACTGTTCTCTATGAATTAAAAAGCCCTTTGTTTTTTTTTTTAATTTTAGCAGTGTTACAGCTTGATGAAAAGAAATATTCTGTGATCCCTGTTTGAGAACCACTGTTAGTCTAACTTCCTCTCTTTGCATAAGAAAAATCTGAGGCCTGGCCGGGCACGGTGGCTCAGGCCTGTAATCCCAGCACTTTGGGAGGCTGAGGCCAGGCGAATCACGAGGTGAGGAGATCAAGACCAGCCTGGCCAACATGGTGAAACCCCGTCTCTACTAAAATACAAAAAAATTAGCCAGGCATGGTGATGCATGCCTGTAGTCCCAGCTGCTCAGGAGGCTGAGGCAGGGGAGTCACTTGAACCCGGGAGGCGGAGGTTGCAGTGAGCTGAGATCGCAACACTGCACTCCAGTCTCCTGACAGTGTGAGACTCCGTCTAAAAAAACAAAAAAAAGAAAAAAAAAGAAAAATCTGAGGCCTAGAAAGGTTCTATTATTTTCCCAAAGCTACAGAGAGTGGCAAAGACAGACACAGAGCCTGAATATTTCAATTCCTAACCCCATTCTCCTTCCACAAGATAACACTGTCTCTACCACTTTAAGGTCATTCACAAAAGCATATTTTTAAATTATTCCTACCGAAATCTTATTTTTTGAAATAGGTCAAAAAGGCACAAGGTTCAAGACCAGTGAGTTATAAAAGAGTGAACATTCAGTAAAGAAAACTCCCTCCCATTCCTGTCTCTTAGCCACCCCATCCTCCTCCTAGATATAATCAATGCTATAAGCTTCTTGGGCTAACTGGTTTCTTAAAAGGTCTCCACTTACCTTCGTTCAACAGGTACAGGCATGGACCAGACTTCTCCCTCAGAAGCTGGAAGGTCATGCTGTGCTGCCTTCAAGGGAGTGCTGTCTAGTTTAAAGCTCTCTAGTGTTTTCATGATATCTTTAACATGTTTAGCTTCCACATTTATTTCCTGCCAAACCTGATTTCAAAGAAGAAGCAGCATCTTTAAATTTCTATAATATATTACTGTCAAAATTAAATGAGGGCCATTTATTAGAGATGTTAGAAAACTCCATTTTGATATCAGATATCCAGTAAACCACATCAAGATATTCTATCGAAATTTTAAAAACAGTTCATTAAATTTATGTTTTCAACTGCAAATTTTTTTTTTTTTTTTGGAGATAGAATCTCGCTCTGTCACCAGTGCAGTGGCGTGATCACTCCTCTGCTCACTGCAAGCTCCTCCTCCCGAGTTCACGCCATTCTCCTGCCTCAGCCTCCCGAGTAGCTGGGACTACAGGCGCCTGCCACCACGCCCGGCTAATTTTTTTTATTTTTAGTAGAGACAGGGTTTCACCATGTTAGCCAGGAAGGTCCTGATTTCCTGACCTCGTGATCCACCCGCCTAGGCCTCCCAAAGTGCTGAGATTACAGGCGTGAGCCACTGTGCCGGGCCCTCAATTGCAAAACTAATTCTGATAAAATGAATTAAACATCCAGGATAGGCTAGGCATGGTGGCTCATGCCTGTAATCCCAGCACTTTAGCAAGCTGAGGCGGACGGATCACTTGAGCTCAGGAGTTTGAGACAAGCCTGGCCAATATGGTAAAACCCCATCTCTACTAAAAATGCAAAAAATTAGCCGGGCATGGGGCAAGCGCCTATAGTCCCAGCTACTTGGGAGACTGAGGCAGGAGAATTGCTTGAGCCCAGGAGGTGGAGGTTGCAGAGAGCCAAGATTGCGCCACTGCACTCCAGCCTGGGCAACACAGCAAGACTCTGTCTCAAAAAAAAAATCCAGGCTAATTAAATAATACTACTAATTTACATTCTTATTTAAATTGCATAGCCGGGTATGCTGGCACATGTATGTAATCCCAGCTACTCGGGAGGCTGAGGCAGGAGAATTGTTTGAACCCTGGAGGCGGAGGTTGTGGTGAGCTGGAGATCACGCCATTGCACTCCAGCCTGGGCAACAAGAGCGAAACTTTGGCTCAAATAAATAAATAAATAAATAAATAAATAAGTTGCATAATAGGCTGGGCACAGTGGCTCACACCTGTAATCTCAACACTTTGGGAGGCCAAGGAGGGCAGATCACCTGAGGTCAGGCGTTCAAGACCAGCCTGGCCAAAATGGTGAAACCCCACCTCTACTAAAAAAAAAAAAAATTAGCTGAGTGTGGTGGCGGGCACCTGGAATCCCAGCTACTTGGGAGGCTGAGGCAGGAAAATTGCTTGAACCCACAAGGGAGAGGTTGCAGTGAGCTGAGATCATGCCATTACTCCAGCCTGGGCAACAGGGCGAGACTCTATTTCAAAAAAATAAAACAAAACAAAACAAATTGAATAACAAACTGAAAAGTCAGGCGTAACTTTAAACTTCTACGAGAATAATTAGCTGGGCATGGTGGCCCATGCCTGTAGTCCTGCCTACTTGAGAGGCTGAGGTGAGAGAATTGCTTGAGCCCACGGGGAAAAAAAAAAACATCAAAGCACAACTTGTGAAAGTTTCATTTTTGTTAAACTTGTTATTTCTTAGAGACAAGGTTTCATTCTGTTGCCCAGGCTGTACTGCAGTGGCACGATCATAGCTCACCATAACCTCAAACCCCCGGGTTCAAGCCATCCTCCCACCTCAGCCTCCCAAAGTGCTGGGATTACAGGCGTCAGCCACCATGCCCAGCCCTACTTTGATAACTTTTATGCTATTTAATTAACTTTGTAAATGCTGAATAATCCCAATTACCCTGATTTGATAATTAAATATTGTATATAGGAAACAAAATATAATGTGTATGCCCAAGATATGTACAACTATTATCTATCAGTAAATAATTTCTAAAAAATGAAAACAACACTGATCAGAATATACTAATTTTACGACTAATGGGTCACAACCCACAGACTAAAAAGGTCTCAATTCATATGCAACGAAAGTATTTTTTTAAAAGCAGTCTTTTTTTTTTTTTTTTTAATATGTTTTAGAGATAGGGTCTCATTCTGTCATCCAGTCTGGAATGTAGTGAAATGGCCCTAGTTTTGAGAGTAAGGCTCCAACTCAAAAATAAAAGAGAAAAGGAATCTTGACGCAATTTAAAAACTAAGCCTGGGCAACATGGCAATACCCCATCTCTAAAAAAAATAATAATAATAAACCAGACATGTTGGTTTGTGCCTGTGGTCCCAGCTGCTCCGGAGGCTGGATGGGAGGATTGCTTGAGCCTGGGAAGTTAAGGCTGCAGTGAGCCATGATTGCACCACTGTACTCCAGCCTGGGCAACAGCCTGAGACCCTGCCTCAAAAAAACCCTCAAAAACCTATATATAGTTTTGATTCAACTGTATTATAGTAATGGGTCTTAACTCAGCCTAAAAACTATATATGGTGACGGCTATACATTATATATGTATTTAATGCCACTGAGTTGTATACTTAAAAATGGCCAAGGCCAGATGCAGTGGCTCACATCTGTAATCTCAGTACTTTGGGAGGCTGAGGCAGGCGGATCACCTGAAGTCAGTAGTTCCAGACCAGCCTAGCCAACATGGCAAAAACCCTGTCTCTACCAAAAGTACACAAAAATTAGCTGGGTGTGGTGGCGCACACCTATAATTTCAGCTACTTGGGAGGCTGGGGCAGGAGAATCACTTGAACCCGGGAGGCGGAGGTTGCAGTGAGCAGAGATTGCGCCACTGCACTCCAGCCTGGGCAAGAGAGTGAGACTCCATCTCAAAAAAAAAGAAAAAAAAAACAGTAAAGTGTTATGTATATTTTACCATAATAAGAAAATGGTACGACGGGCATGGTGGCTCATGCTTGCAATCCCAGCACTTTGGGAGGCCAAGGCAAGCGGATCACCTGAGGTTAGGAGGCTACAAGGTGAAACCCTGTCTCTACTAAAAATACAAAAATTAGCTGGGTGTGGTGGCAGGCTCCTGTAATCCCAGCTACTCGGGAGTCTGAGGCAGGAGAATCACTTGAACCCAGAAGGTGGAGGCTGCAGTGAGCTAAGACTACACCATTGCACTCCAGCCTGGGCAACAAGTGAGAAAATCCGTCTCAAAAAAAAAAAAAAAAAAGAAAATGGTAAAAAAAAACCTATATATATAATATTGAAATGAAATTTAAGATGATAATGTTTTGTTTTATAACTTAAATGATTTAATCTTAGGTACCTTTAAACAAAAGCTTAGACTTAAGTAGAAGTCTTTGGCCAAACAACAAAAGGTCTAAAAGTCCTTCACTGACAAACTTAAGACTCCTTATGAAATAAAATATTTTCTAGGCCGAGCATGGTGACTCACGCCTATAATCCTAGCACTTTGTGAGGCTGAGGCAAGAGGATCATTTGAGTCCAGGAGTTCAAGACCAGCCTGAATAACATAGTGAGATGCCATGTCTATAAAAAATAAATAAATAAAAGATTAATAAAATAAAATATTTGCCCCTTCTGGTAATTATATGGATACAGTAAAGGATATGGAGGGACAGATATAGAGAAATAGATTAAGTTCAAAGAGATAGGCTATTTCTCTCAAAAAAATTAAGGACAAATATTGAACAATATTTAAAAAGCAGCTCAGTAAAATCTGAGGTATAATATTCTATCCTAGTAAATCAGCTCAAAGGATATTTACTGTTCGTTTTTTTTTTTTTTTTTTTGAGGCAGAGCCTCGCTCTGTTGCCAGGCTGAGGTGCAATGGCACAATCTCGGCTCACTAAACCTCCACCTCCTGGCTTCAAGAGATTCTCTCCACCTCAGCCTCCCAAGTGCTGCGATTACAGGCACCGCCATACACCCAACTAATTTTTTTGTATTTTAGCTAGAGATGGGGTTTTACCACGTTGGTCAGGCTGGTCTTGAACTCCTGACCTCAGGAGATCAGCTCACCTCCCAGTCCTTGCCAAAGTGCTGGGATTACAGGTGTGAGCCCACCACTGCCGGGCAAGGAGTATTTATTTTCTTAAACATTTTTCGCCTTGTGGACATAGTTGAGCCTGTATAAATGCCATACCTGCCGCCACTGGACCTGTAAGTTAAGCAATTGTCAAATTTTTAAATTTCTGTTGGTCTCGCGAGTAAACGTGAAGATTCGGAGGAATTCACCATGAATCTGCGTGGTATAAAGTTGTGGTTATACAAGAATATGAGGCTGGGTGTGGGTGCGCTCATCAGCCTGTCCCACCACTCAGGGGGCGTGAGGGTGAGAGAAGGAAATCACTATATAGTCTACGAATGTATATTAAAACCAGCCGTGAGGGAAAACAGGGAAGAATCCATCTCACCAAAAAAGAATTATACAAATTAGGCACGCGATCACCAGATGGGGCACACAGTGTGAGGTGGTGTTGTTCTCGCACTCAGGAGGTTGGAGTGGAGAGGAATTGTTTGAGGCACTGGGGAAGGTCAATGGGCTGATCAGCACCGTACACACTGCAAACTCCTCCTGGAGAACGATGAGCAACAGAAGCACCCCTTCTCTCAAAATTAAAGAATATAATCATAGTATGGATGGCCTTGTGGAAGGATGTCACAAACGCATTAGCAGTTTCGGACAATGGCTTAATAAGGTCTTAACACTCTAGTTTGTTACCAAGTACAAATTCTGAAACCAAAATAGTCAAACCCATCATTTTTTAAAGAACTGCGTGGCTGAAACAAAAGGTGCAAGGATAGAGCTCATGCTGTAATCCCAGCCATTTGAGAGAGGGGGCACAAAGGTGGGGCATAGATTTACTGAAGGTCAGAGAGTTACGATGAGAACACAGCCTGCAAACAGAAGCGTGGGTGACCACCACGCGTCATTCTTCTAACCAAAAAACAACAAAATTTGGCCAGGATGTGGAGGCAGGCGCCTTAAATCCCAGCTAACCCGTCAGAGAGGCTTGAACGACGGAGGTGAGGTTGCACCGTGATTCAGATCGCGGGCCGAGCTGCACTCCGACCCTTGACGAGTGACAACAGCCAAACTCGCGTGTC